GCCGTAAGAGAAAGTAATGTTCTGTGGTGGGTCAATTACATTAGGAGCTAAATAATGCCGTACTGAAGGTGCTTTCCGAAAGACAAGTTTGGGTCTGTCAGGAAGGGTATTACGTAAAACTGGATCATTTTTTAGAACAACCCAATTTTTCTTAAGGATTTTTGAGATGTCTTTATGCTGTACCGAATAATTAGTTATAAACGGGCATACCTTAGGTACCTTTTCTTTTTTACTGGCGGACAGTAATTCGGTCCTATTTATAGCCGCTATCTCATTAATGCCCTCCTGTAAAGAGACATTTTATTACATAAGTTATTGCAGTTGCGCCGTAATCTGAGAAACTGGCCCTTAGGTATATTCCTAAACTACATTGGGTGATGGCAACTCTCAGTTGGTATAAAACTGTTACGGTCTGTACCCTTAAAAAATGTTTTGGTAATGATATTGGCACCTTCATTAATGATGACCAGGTCTAAGAAATTGATCTCAACTTGTCTGTTTTGATACGATAAATTAATATTAGTGTTATTAAAATTAAGTGTTTTAAAAAAATTGTGCAACGAGAATTCATCTCCTTCCCATAGTAAAAACACATCGTCTATATATCTGCGATAAAAAGACAGTTCCAGCCAATCCCTTGAGTAAATAATTACTTCCTCCCACCAGGACATGAATAGATTAGCCAAACTAGTTGTGAATTTCGTGCCCATAGCTACGCCGGTGATTTGGAGATAATATTGGTTATTGAACCAAAAGTAGTTATGGTTTATGGCATAATTAAGTAGTGTCATGATGAAACATTTCTGTTGTTGAGGAATAAAACAAGTAAATAAACAGTGTAGCGCTGACAAAACTACTAAATAAATAAAATATGTGAAATGGTGATTGAAATAAATCAACCAATTGCATATTAAACAGTCCCATTATTACACACAACGGGGAAATCTACATAAATAAATAAATAAATAAATAAATCGTGTCATACGTGAATTCCCTCTCATAGGGAATATACAGTGCACATAGTGAAATATAAAACCATAATTCAATACTATGAAATGACACACACACAATAGTGCAAATCAACTGTGAACCAATAATTAGTTCAATAGTTCCAAAATACACAATACATATAGTGGTCCTCCCACTTCACTCTCATGCAAATGTTGTGCTGTGTAAGTGATTCACAAGTGCCAATCCTCCAATGTCCGAAATGCCCCCTCACCTCCTTACTTAGACCCCAACAGGGCCAGCTCGCTTTAGGGATCAACCGATCCTGTAAGAACAGACTCCTCTCAGGATTCCCCAATTTGTTTGCAAGATGTCAGAATAGCCTCCCAGAGCTGCTGTTTGGATGTAAACTGCCTCCACCCTCATAGATCTTTTGCTTGAGAATGCTTCAAAGGTTCTCAATAGGATTGAGGTCAGGGGAGGATGGAGGCCACACTATGACTTTCTCTCCTTTTATCCCCATAGCAGCCATTGATGCAGAGGTATTCTTTGCAGCATGAGATGGTGCATTGTCATGCATGAAGATGATTTTATTACGGAAAGCATAGTTCTTCCTTCTGTACCAGGGAAGAAAGTGGTCAGTCATAAACTCCACATACTTTGCAGAGGTCATCTTTACACCTTCAGGGACCCTAAAGGGGCCGACCAGCTCTGTTCCCATGATTCCGGCCCAAAACATGACTCCACCACCGCCTTGCTAACGTCGCAGCCTTGTTGGAATAGGGTGGCCGTCCACCAACCATCCACTACTCCATCCATCTGGACCATCCAGGGTTGCACGGCACTCATCAGTGAACAGGACTGTTTGAAAATTAGTCTTCATGTATTTTTCTGCCCAATGCAGCCGTCCCTGCATGTGAACATTGGTTAGTGGTGGTTGAATAGAAGGTTTATGCACAGTAGCAAGACTCTGGAGGACTCTACACCTTAATATCCGTGGGACTCCAGAGGCACCAGCAGCTTCAAATATCTGTTTGCTGCTATGTAATGGTATTTTAGCAGCTGCTCTCTTGATCCGATTCATGGATCTGGCAGAAATCTTCCTCAATGTGCCTTTATCTGCACAAACCCGTCTGTGCTCTGAATCAGCCACAAATCTCTTAATAGTGCGATAATGACGCTTAAGTTTTCGTGAAATATCTAATGTTTTCATACCTCATCCAAGGCATTGAACTATTTCACTCTTTTCAGCAGCAGAGAGATCCTTTTTCTTACCCATATTGCTTGAAAATGGTGCTCTGCTTAATAATGTGGAACACCCTCCTTAAGTAGTTTTTCCTTAAATTGGGCTCACCGGCCAATCTAATTATCACAGGTGTCCGAGATTGTTTTCAGTGATCAAAAGAGCCCTGAGGCACAATGCCATCCATGAGTTAAACTGAAAAACAAAATATTTAATCTTTGTGACACTTAAATAGAATTTGCATAATAATTTGGAACAGGGTGTATATAAGATGTGCTCAGACTAGGCCACTTTGCCTGAGCAACTTCTTAGTTGTTGGAGCTCCCATGTGTTTCCGCTGTGAATCCTATATTGTCTATATGTGTACCGACCCCGCTTCGTTCCTGACCTTGGTTGTTTTCTGCCTGTCCTGACCCCTGCTTGCCTATTGGATTCCCTTTGTCTTCTCCCGTTGTTCTCTGCTCCCATGAGCAGTGTCCTCCACCTCAGCTGGGTGTACTTGGGGGCCGCGACCTAGTCCCAGCCTGCTGCAAGTCCATCCCCACCATCAGGGGCTCTGGTGAACAAGCAGGCTGGGGTTTAGACTCCGGCCCTGGGGAACCCCAAGTTGAGGATCAATAGAGCTCACTACTACAGGTGCTGACACATAAAATTTCCCAAATGATAATTGGAGGGATTGGGATAAGTAATCCTTGCAGTTTATACCATACCACTTGAAGGAATCACAACAATGAAAAACCGTTCTAAGTGTAGTATTTAATAAGGCAACAGTAGGAATTAAAACAAACTGGATACACTCACATGATACACATGATACAGTGCCTGAGAAGCCAGCACCAGCATGCATTGCCTGTGTATTCAGTTAAGATGGCCGACGTGCATTCCAAGCCTCTGTCCTGACCGGACGTGACGTCACCGGAGCCCGGATATGACGGAATCCCATTTATCTTTGATGTATGTTTCGCCTGGCGGCATCTTCATGAAGTGCATTTATATATTATATATTTTATTTAAGTACAGTGCCTATCTATTCACTACCAGTTTACATTCAAGTGTCACCTTCACTTTTTAGGGACAGCTGTAAAACCTAGGGGGTTAATTTATCATTTACATCACTCTCAATTGGCGCCACAATAATTCATTTTTGTTTGATGTAGGATTTTACACCAAATCGTGCTCGCTTTGATTCAATGTATTGTACCCAGCTGAGCTTTCCCTTGTAGACCATTATACTTTCATCTATGCTGATATCGCTTTCTGGCACATAGCTCCATTGAAAATTCTTTAGAATCATTTGAGATACTTCCCAAATTTTCTTTAGTTTTGGTGCAGGATGAGTAGTTTCATCAAATTCTTTGTTGTTTTCGAAGTGTAAAAATTTAATGATCAGGGAAAGTCTGTACTCTGACATGACCGTGCCAAAGAATGGAGTGAAAAGTAATTTGTTAGTTGTCCAATACCAATTCTGCAGGGGTTTCCCCACCACTCCCTGAAGTATTATTAAGCCCAGAAATTTCTAAATGTCATCTTTGGTCATTGGTTCCCACTTTCTGCTTCTTGAAAACGTCCGATGCAAAGTAACCAATTGCTGCTGTTGGTACCGATTTGTCTCAGTAACTATTTTTTCAATAACCTCATCGATCAGAAATAATTGTAAGTATGCCAAAGGGTTGTTGTGTTCAATGTCTACTTTGATACCAGATGCTCCAGTAAATTTGAAAATTTGGGGGCGCTGCCTGATCCGTACCACAGTCAATAGAGCACCAAGTTCGCACATCACTGAGCTCAGTCGCAGAATTATCACTGTCGTCATTTTCAGTGTCTGATGATGAATTTCCCCACAAAATCTATCGCTCAATTCTGCAAGTGATTCTAATTCACTATCGCCGTTTTCTAGCTGGTTTAAAACCGCTTTTGACCTAAAGGGACGCTTTTTGGATACCATGGACTTTCTCAAGTTTCCAGGCAGAAAGAACAGTAAAAGTGCAGGCAGGGCACTGGACCATGCACTAGATACATAACTGAGGTGCAATGGTTTGATACAGTAATGTAATCCTAACAGATTACAATGTATTGTGTGTATGCCATGTTTTGTTTACTTTTTTGAATCTCCCCCTGCGTTGTGGTGCTCGCAGGGAAGGGAACCCAGAAGACGGATGCCAGCATTGGCCAGTGGACATCGGGGGATTGCAGGGACAAGATAAATTGCACTACAGTCTAATCCTGAGTGAAAATTAACCCCAAGCCACACTCGGGATTACCGCCAAGGAGGTTAATGTGAACATGAACTTTAATGTAACAAGCAACCAATAGACACAACTCAAGGAAGTGGAGGTCACATTTTTCATATCACATCTGCATTTCAAAAGGGTATCTGGCTGCAGACTATAGCTCCACTTTCGACCTGAAACGTGACCTTAAACTGTTTTTTTTTTTTTTTTTTTTAATTAACTTGAACTCTTTCGCTGCCAGAGCTGTTTTTGCATTATATGCATACATTTTTTAAATATTTAGGCCTGAAGATTACACAAAACCCCCAAACAGGATATATTTTCTGAAAGCAGAAACCCTAGAAAAAAAATTGCGGTAGATCTAATTTTTTAGGTCACATTATATTACCGCAAAGGTCTAGGACAGTGATGGCGAACCTTTTTGAGCCCGAGTGCCCAAACTGCAACCCAAAACCAACTTATTTCTTTCAAAGTGCCAACACTGCAATGAAACCTGAATATCGAGCTTTTGGGTTAGAAAAAACAACTCGTACAGTAGTGCAAACTAATTAACAGTACAGGGATGACCAGAGACTGCGGACTGCGGACAGTACAGGGATGACCAGAGACTGCAGACACAGTACAGGGATGACCAGAGACTGCGGACACAGTACAGGGATGACCAGAGACTGCGGACACAGTACAGGGATGACCAGAGACTGCGGACACAGTACAGGAGATGACCAGAGACTGCGGACATGGTACAGGAGATGACCAGAGACTGCGGACACGGTACAGGGATGACCAGAGACTGCAGACACAGTACAGGGATGACCAGAGACTGCAGACATAGTACAGGGATGACCAGAGACTGCAGACACAGTACAGGGATGACCAGAGACTGCAGACACAGTACAGGGATGACCAGAGACTGCAGACATGGGATGACCAGAGACTGCGGACACAGTACAGGGATGACCAGAGACTGCGGACACAGTACAGGGATGACCAGAGACTGCGGACACAATACAGGAGATGACCAGAGACTGCGGACACAGTACAGGAGATGACCAGAGACTGCAGACACAGTACAGGAGATGACCAGAGACTGCGGACAGTACAGGGGATGACCAGAGACTGCGGACAGTACAGGGATGACTAGAGACTGCGGACACAGTACAGGGATGACCAGAGACTGCGGAAAGTACAGGGATGACCAGAGACTGCGGACAGTACAGGAGATAACCAGAGACTGCGGAAAGCACAGGGATGACCAGAGACTGCGGACAGTACAGATGACTGCTGACCTTTGGGGAGGGAGGGGGAGCGGGTACCTGAATTTGACAGGTACCCGCTCTTACTTCCGCAGAGTTTTTTTTTATCTTACCTGTTCCTTTATCCAGCCGCGCGCTGTCTTCCCGGCTTCTGTAGTGTGGGCGCTCGTCGGACAGCCGGATGCCCAGTGCGCATGCGCGAGAAGCGCTGCGCTTTGTGATTGGTCCGGCGGCTTCTGGGATCTTCATGTGTCCCAGGTACCGCCTTACCTGAGCACTTCCTTGCGCATGCGCTCTTGGGACCCGGCTGTCAGCCACTACAGAAGCGCAGCGCGCCGCTGTCAGGTACGGTCCCACTGCAGAACTGAGCGGCCGGCCCGGTATTCTGACACGGCGGCGGTGGAAATGGGCGCTCTATATTCGTCGACGCACTGACATTTTCCCCCCTTTTTTGGGGGATGCCTTATGGAGCAGTACGCGGCGTGCCCACAGATAAGCGTGCGACGCGTGCCAAGCCATCACTGGTCTAGGAAATGCAACATTTCAGTAAAAAAAACACAATAGTGAATTTTAGGGCAAACAAATGCAATAAATTACACAAACCTTTGGGTAGACGAGGTTACACGAGTAAATAGATATCCAACATGTCAAACTGTAAATTTACCTGCGCCCCGTGAATTGGCAATGAACTTCAATACCCTATATTTTCTTTAGGCGACGCTTCAAAAGACTTCTATAGGTCATCACTTTAGTGTTACGGAGAAAGTCTGATGCTACAAATATTATTCTCACTCCAGCGTGCACAGCGATATGTAACATGTGTATTACAATTGACACTAGCGGGAGTACGTGGAAGTAATCAGGCAGCAGTGCAGCCACCAGATTGTGTGAAATATCCCCTGCTGCTGTTAGGTCCATATGATACACAGATCCAGCACCGAAAGGGTTAATGTAACAACCAATAGACACAACTAGAGTAAGTGGAGATCACGTTTCCTGTCTAGAGTGGAGCTCAAGTGTGAGCTGCTGTGACAGGGAGATCAGAGCTTCTCAAGGCGCAAGCATTGCTGCACTCGGCTCCCGATCATTGCGCTGTGATATTCGAATTTGGGGGTGTTTGTGTGCCCCAGACCCTGAGGCAGCCAGGCACCCCTACTAATCCCCAATTGCCAGTGTAGCATGAAGATGTGTATGTTATGAAAATATGTATCCCTGCAGCAACTGCGCATGTGCGGAATCAGGAAAAAATGGCCGAGGAGCAGACGATGAAAACACTTATCTCCTTACATGTCGTACAGGCACGTGTCATCATACATGGGGGATACATGAGGATACACAGTGGCTGTAGCATAAAAGGGGGGGGTTGGGGTCTGTCAGTGGGGGGAGGGGTAGCATTTGAGGGAGTTGGGGCTTTGTCACTGGAGGGAAGGGGTGGTATTTGGGGGGTAGGGGGGTCTGTCAGTGGGGGGGAGGGGGTATTATTTGGGGGTTTTGGGGTCTGTCAGCTGCAGCCACCAGGATTGTGTATAAAACTGACAGGCAGACTCCTGCCTTTCAGGTGGAAGCATTCGGGCATCTAAGCTGCCACCTGATTGCTTCCACACAACCCCAGTAGTGCTGCCCCCACCGCCATTTATTCCAGGCTCCGCTTGTCCACTTGCAGGCCCGGGACTGACGTGGGACCTCCTGTTCACTCTCCTCCCCTTCTTGCTATGTGTGTCACTTCCGGGTCACCTGTCACTTTCCCTGGCTAGCATAGCTGGGAAGGAATGTATTGCAATGTGATCTGTATTGCAATATATTCAGGTGAGCACAGGGGAGACATTCAGGGTCTTTTAGATTCTCCATGTCTCATTTAAAGAGAACATTTCACCAAAAAAAATCATCACATACTGTAGGGGACCTTTTTGTCTCCTATGTGATGAAATTAACAAAATAAAGTTACACCCAAGCACATAAAATACCCCCCAAAAACATTTTAAGGCCCCCCACACCGACATGTATGCACGTAAACACACACATCGGGGGCACCTATGCTTCAAAACGTCAATGCCGGAGCGAGAGTAATTTCTAGCATGCCGGAGTGAGAGTAATTTCTAGCACCAGATCTCCTAACACTAAACTGATGACCTGTAGGAGGCTTTTGAAGCATCGCCTAGAGAAGATACAGGGTACTAAAGTTTGTTGCCATTTCACGGGAGCACATAAATTTAAGGTTTGACATGTTATTATTATTAATATTATTATACAGGATTTATATAGCGCCGACAGTTTGCTCAGCGCTTTACATTATGGGGGAGACAGTACACGAGACAGTACAGTAACAATACGATTCAATACACGAGGGGTTCGAGGGCCCTGCTCCTTGGAACTTACAATCTAGGAGGGAGGGGATAGTGGTACAGGAGGAAATAGCTGTGGGGGATGGAGTGGTAGGAAGAGTGGAGGAGTTCAGTAATTAGTTGAGGGCGGGGTAGGCTTCCCTGAAGAGATAGGTTTTCAGAGTGCGCCTAAAGGTGAGCAGAGTAGGTGAAAATCTGATGGATTGGGGTAGGGAGTTCCAGAGGATGGGGGAAGCCCTGGAGAAGTCCTGGAGACGAGCAAGGGAGGAGGAGACCAGGGAGCTAGAGAGTAGGAGGTCTTGTGAGTAGCGGAGAGTACGTTTTGGGTGGTATTTGGAGACAAGATCGGTGACAGGATCGGTTATGAACAGCTTTATACAGTGGGGCAAAAAAGTATTTAGTCAGCCACCAATTGTGCAACTTCTCCCACTTAAAAAGATGAGAGAGGCCTGTAATTGGCATCATAGGTAGACCTCAACTATGAGACACAAAATGAGAAAACAAATCCAGACAATCACATTGGCTGATTTGGAAAGAATTTATTTGCAAATTATGGTGGAAAATAAGTATTTGGTCAATATCAAAAGTTCATCTCAATACTTTGTTATATATCCTTTGTTGGCAATGGCAGAGGTCAAACGTTTCCTGTAAGTCTTCACAAGGTTGGCACACACTGTTGCTGGTATGTTGGCCCATTCCTCCATGCAGATCTCCTCTAGAGCAGTGATGTTTTGGGGCTGTCGCTGGGCAACACGGACTTACAACTCCCTCCAAAGGTTTTCTATGGGGTTGAGATCTGGAGACTGGCTAGGCCACTCCAGGACCTTGAAATGCTTGTTACGAAGTCACTCCTTCGTTGCCCGGGTGGTATGTTTGGGATCATTGTCATGTTGGAAGACCCAGCCATGTTTCATCTTCAATGCCCTTGCTGATGGAAGGAGGTTTGCACTCAAAATCTCACGATACATGGCCCCATTAATTCTGTCCTGTACATGGATCAGTCATCCTGGTCCCTTTGCGGAGAAACAGCCCCAAAGCATGATGTTGCCACCCCCCCCCATGCTTCACAGTAGGTATGGTGTTCTTTGGATGCAACTCAGCATGCTCTCTCCTCCAAACATGACGAGTTGTGTTTCTACCAAACAGTTCTATTTTGGTTTCATCTGACCATATGACATTCTCCCAATCCTCTTCTGGAATATTCCAAATGCTCTCTAGCAAACTTCAGACGGGCCCGGACATGTACTGGCTTAAGCAGGGGGACACGTCTGGCACTGCAGGATCTGAGTCCCTGGCGGTGTAGTGTGTTACTGATGGTAGCCTTTGTTATGTTGGTCCCAGCTCTCTGCAGGTCATTCACTGGGTACTCCCGTGTGGTCCTGGGATTATTGCTCACCGTTCTTGTGATCATTTTGACTCCACGGGGTGAGATCTTGCGTGGAGCCCCAGATCGAGGGAGATTATCAGTGGTCTTGTATGTCTTCCATTTTCTAATTATTGCTCCCACAGTTGATTTGTTCACACCAAGCTGTTTGCCTATTGCAGATTCAGTCTTCCCAGCCTGGTGCAGGTCTACAATTTTGTTTCTGGTGTTCTTTGACAGCTCTTTGGTCTTCACCATAGTGGAGTTTGGAGTGTGACTGTTTGAGGTTGTGGACAGGTGTCTTTTATACTGATAACAAGTTCTAACAGGTGCCATTGATACAGGTAATGAGTGCAGGACAGAGGAGCCTCTTAAAGAAGAAGGTACAGGTCTGTGAGAGCCGGAAATCTTGCTTGTTTGTAGGTGACCAAATACTTATTTTCCACCATAATTTGCAAATAAATTCTTTCCAAATCAGCCAATGTGATTGTCTGGATTTTTTTTCTCATTTTGTGTCTCATAGTTGAGGTCTACCTATGATGCCAATTACAGGCCTCTCTCATCTTTTTAAGTGGGAGAACTTGCACAATTGGTGGCTGACTAAATACTTTTTTGCCCCGCTGTACGTCAGTGTTAGCGTTTTGAATTTTATCCGTTGGGCAATCAGAAGCCAGTGGAATGAGTGGCAGAGGGGGGTGGCAGATATGGAGCGGTTAGTAAGGTGGATGAGTCTGGCCACAGCATTCAATATAGACTGAAGTGGGGATAGCCTGCGGTGAGGTAAGCCGATGAGGATGGCGTTACAGTAGTCGAGGCGTGATATAATAAGGGAGTGAATGAGTTGTTTAGTGGTTTCCGAGGTTAGGAACGGTCGTATTTTGGAGATGTTGTGGAGGTGAAGTCTACATGACTTTGGGGCTGGAAGGACAGATTGGAGTCTAGGATGACACCTAGTACTCTGGCTTGAGGGGTGGGACTGATGGTAGTGTTGTTGGTCTTGATAGAGAAGTCGGGGGGGGGGGGGGGGGGGCGCGGGCTGGGGGGAAAACTAGGAGCTCAGTTTTGGAAAGATTTAGTTTGAGGAAGTGGAGTGACATCCAATCCAAATGTCGCTCAGTAGGCTTGTGATATGGGCGGAGACTGAAGGGGAGACTGAAGGGGTGAGGTGAGGCGTAGAGAGATAGATTCAGCATAGATATGGTAGTTGAAGCCATGGGAATGTATCAATTGGCCAAGGGAGGAGGTGTAGATGGAAAAGAGAAGGGGCCCGAGGACAGAACCTTGAGGGCCCCAACAGAGAGGGGGAGTGAAGAGGAGGTGGCAGCGTTATAGGTAACACTGAAGGAGCGCTGTGATAGATAGGAAGAGAGCCAGGAGAGAGCGGAGTCTCTGAGGCCAAGAGAGTGTAGTTTTTTGAGGAGGAGGGGGTGGTCAACCGTGTTGAAAGCCGCGAGAGTTTGAGGAGTAGGAACACTGAATAGTGGCCATTAGTTTTGGCGGTAAGCAGGTCGTTGGTGAGTTTGAGTAGGGCAGTTTCGGTGGAGTGTAGGAGGCGGAAGCCAGACTGTAGGGGGATCAAGGAGGTTGTTGTCGGTGAGGTGGGAACTCAGG